ATTTAGCCTCCAAACCCCTGCAGTTATTCTATATTTTACCGTCTAAATTTAAGGAGCCTTAATAAACCAAAACTTCCAATAGATAAATCTAGATTTATGACAACTGAGTTTATTCATTCGGCCTCAGAGCTCCAAGGCCACAACATCTCTAAGGAAGGGAGTCTGTTTATCCGGTTAGGGAGTGTTTGGCCATAATATGAGGTAGCCCTCAAAGCATTTTGACTCTTTCTCCAAACTGTCTGTTTTTTGCTTTGGGTAGAGATTTCTCCACAGCTTTTCTGCAGGGTTAATTAGGGAAGGACAAAGTTTGGCTCATCAGAATTGCCGTGTTGTTCTCTCTTTGCAAGGATGATATAAAATGCAGACTGGGTGAAATCAATTGATCTCCATTCATTTCACTGGAGTGGATAGTTGAATAAATTTTTCCCATGAAAACAGTTAATCACATTTCTTTAATATAAAAACTTAATTTACACTTTTTTTTTGCCCTGCCTATTATTGGATGTAAGTTGATCGTGGGGCAAAAGTAAGATCACTAGTCCTGAAACAGTGGAACACTGAATGATCAATAGGATGCACTGTTAAAGGTAACAGGACTTAATGCATTAAGAGTTTTAGAGGTTTTATTTAATATATGAAAGCAGGCACAATAGGACACAGTGTGACAGCAGCTTTAATATTGTAAAATAATTCTACTTTTTTTCTCCCTTTTAAACATTTTTCAGTCTTTAAATTAATCCCTTGATCAAAGTTTTTTCTGGAACTTATTTCCCTATTTGATGCTCCATCTTAGATAAAAGCAGCGCTCTAAGGCATGCTTATGAGTATATAATATCTGACAGAGGATGCAGGAATAAAGAAGATGCAAAGATATGATAACCTATTAGAATAAAAAAATATTAAGGGAGGGGAATTTCGTAGCATCTGCTGTTGGTGAAGTGGTCAAAAGAGTGGTCAATGGCTTCTTAGGACATTTTGTAAAGTGGCATGCATATGTATATGTGTTTGTGCTGTAATCAGTGAGATTCGGGGTGGAGATGGAACACAGCAGGCTGTAAAGGACTGCTGTGCCTAGAAATGGAGCTTTTACTCCTGCTGCTACTCACTTCTCTGTTCCTGTGCCTGCATCTCTCTGAAAAATGCATATGTAGGCATATAAGTTAAAAGTTTGCATATCTGATCACTCCTTTCCTACCTTTTTATTTCACCATAGAGGACAGTAGGTAACTCTCATACCTACACGTCAGACATTGTTTTTGTTTTGTGTGGCTAAAAATGTAAAGCGCTATGAGAATATGTAAATCTGTCAATTAAAATTCGTGTTTTGGAAAGGAGAGAGGCACAAAACAGAAGCAATGAACGGAGCGAGGACGACAGAGAGAAGGGGCTTTTGAGGAGATGAAAAGCACAAAGCTGAGCTGCCTGTAGAGACACAGAGAGGCAGACAATACAGGAGATACTTTAGTTTGGCTTTTTCTTTAATGAGTATTTCCCTCTTGCGTTGCCGACTTTCACTCTTTTTAGTCCCTTTCCATTATATTCCCATCTTTTCTTATACAGAGAGTTCGTGTGCATGAAAAAAGGCCTCATTTTCCCCATGGTGAAGATTATTCTTTTGCATGTGTGTCCTTCAGTGAGGATGCACAGATTGCTGCTTTTCCAGCTGAAAACCAATACTGGTTCTTTTTAAATTGCTCACCTAACAAGTAGGAATACACATTGATATCAGAACAGCTGACAGCACACAATAAACATAAATATGTGCTTGAATTTAAAAATCTCTTTATTGATGTTGTCAAAGTTATTAGGCCGTTCCCCAAAGCAAAACAGATCCCACCCACCTTACCTAACAACATGTATCTGGTGCTTTTTCTACAAGCTCAAAGCATGCAAACTTCAAAACCTCCAAACAACACGTTGACGTGTCACTAAATGTCTGGTTCCAACTGTCGCAGACTTCTGAATATGAATTCAAATCAAATTTGCTTTAACATGTTTCCTAATTTTTTTTTTGTGGTTCTGTCACGATCCTGGCGCTGATGGCTGTCTTAATTGTTCATTCCATTAACCTGTCTAACTGTGACCAGCTGCTCATTACCGCTCATCTGATCCACCTGCTTCTGCCTCTATTTAATGTACTTGCATCCAGCTATCAGGACCTGATTATCTCGTTCTTGCTGGTCTGTGGTGAGAGTATTTTTTAGCATTCCATAGTGTTTCTGATTTCCTGACCTGATCTGCCTCTCATCCACTGAGCCTGCCTATTCCCGTCTGAATGGATTGCCTGGGCTGTCTGTGGACTCCTGGAACCCTGAACCAGCCTGTTGTTGTTCTGATCTGTTTCCCTGACCTGGTTCCGACTCATGCTTGCCCTCTGGGACAACAGCATCTGGGACACTCTGGCGGCGCCCATCGCATCTCGTTGGCAGCCCTCTGGCTCGATCCTACCTCGTTCTCTTGCGATAGACTGAACTGTTATACCAAGTTTGTGACTCACATGGATAACCATCCTCGGTCAGAGTATTATGGTCACTAACCTGTGTTTCTCTCCAACAGAGTTTCCAGTTATAGACGCCCCAGCCACTGATACCGCGCATCCACAGCCTGCTCTGTCTTGAATAAATGCTTTGAATGATCCTAATGTCTGTCTCGCCTTGAATACTGGGTCCTTCTGTCCTCTGTCGTGACACCATCCAGTTTTCAGATATGACAAAATGGGCTTCTGTGTTACATTAAACTAATAACGCACATAAACAGAAGGTTTCTACAATCCGAAGGTCCTACATCTAATCCTAAAAACATAAAAAATGAATGAAAAATTAACTAAAAGCATATTTTTAAAAAGATACATAAAAGCTTCACCTATCGATATACACTATATTGCCAAAAGTATTTGCTCACCCATCCAAATTATTGGAATCAGGTGTTCCAATCACTTCCATGGCCACAGGTGTATAAATTCAAGCACCTAGGCATGCAGACTGTTTTTACAAACATTTGTGAAAGAATGGGTCGCTCTCAGGAGCTCAGTGAATTCCAGCGTGGAACTGTGATAGGATGCCACCTGTGCAACAAATCCAGTCGTGAAATTTCCTCGCTCCTAAATATTCCACAGTCAACTGTCAGCTGTATTATAAGAAAATGGAAGTGTTTGGGAATGACAGCAACTCAGCCACGAAGTGGTAGGCCACGTAAACTGACGGAGCGGGGTCAGCGGATGCTGACGCGCATAGTGCGAAGAGGTCGCCAACTTTCTGCAGAGTCAATCACTACAGACCTCCAAACTTCATGTGGCCTTCAGATTAGCTCAAGAACAGTGCGCAGAGAGCTTCATGGAATGGGTTTCCATGGTCGAGCAGCTGCATCCAAGCCATACATCACCAAGTGCAATGCAAAGCGTCGGATGCGGTGGTGTAAAGCACGCCGCCACTGGACTCTAGAGCAGTGGAGACGCGTTCTCTGGAGTGACGAATCGCGCTTCTCCATCTGGCAATCTGATGGACGGGTCTGGGTTTGGCGGTTGCCAGGAGAACGGTACTTGTCTGACTGCATTGTGCCAAGTGTAAAGTTTGGTGGAGGGGGGATTATGGTGTGGGGTTGTTTTTCAGGAGCTGGGCTTGGCCCCTTAGTTCCAGTGAAAGGAACTCTGAATGCTTCAGCATACCAAGACATTTTGGACAATTCCATGCTCCCAACTTTGTGGGAACAGTTTGGAGCTGGCCCCTTCCTCTTCCAACATGACTGTGCACCAGTGCACAAAGCAAGGTCCATAAAGACATGGATGACAGAGTCTGGTGTGGATGAACTTGACTGGCCTGCACAGAGTCCTGACCTCAACCCGTTAGAACACCTTTGGGATGAATTAGAGCGGAGACTGAGAGCCAGGCCTTCTCGTCCAACATCAGTGTGCGACCTCACAAATGCGCTTCTGGAAGAATGGTCAAAAATTCCCATAAACACACTCCTAAACCTTGTGGACAGCCTTCCCAGAAGAGTTGAAGCTGTTCTAGCTGCAAAGGGTGGACCGACGTCATATTGAACCCTATGGATTAGGAACGGGATGTCACTTAAGCTCATATGTGAGTCAAGGCAGGTGAGCAAATACTTTTGGCAATATAGTGTATGTACCTACCTTCATCTTAAACTTATGTTAATTAGCCACTAAATTAGCCAGATTAACTGGCTTCTAGCTTTAGGCATACAGTAAAAAAAGGCACATGTCCAGCAACATCAACTTTTTCTTAGTATACGTATGATTTTCCCCTTTGTCTGAGTCTCAGGGCAGATGAGAAGCATGAAACAGAGCCAATGACAGATGTGGGTTTTGTTGACCTGAGCTGCTTTGAGAGGCCTGTTGATGATGATTGGAGGCAATCTGCCTACACGGGGCGACATGGGGCCTGAGTCCCTGGTATAATTATGACACAGTATGAGAGAGGAAGAGCCGTGGAGATTGACTGGGGGCAGACTATTTATAGCTGCCTGGTAACTGTCTGTACATAAGTGGATGGGACTGAAGCAGGGAGGCTGATTGCTGCATAAGTGGCTCACTCCTAAGTGGAGATGTTGCAGTCGGCTTATTTACTTGGCCTCTTCAGTGTAGGGGCGGGTTTAACCGTTGAATTTCAAGTTCGCATTTGATTAAAAAGTAACTGTTTTGTCTTAAACCCATGCAAGATGGCCCCTAAACACATAGTGCAACATAGTGTTGGTACCATCATGCTATGGGGATGTTTTATGTTTTAGATAAGGACCTGCTCATTTATTTGCGTCAAAACATGGTTCAATAAAAGGTTGATTTGGGGTAGTTAAAAATGCATTCACAGATTATCGGTGAATGACTTTTAAAACAATGTATCCTTTCCTTTTTAAATTTATGAGGTACATCGTGTGGTTTTGTTATTTAAAATCCTTATAGTTTTGTTTTGTAGCTGCGTAAAGACAGAATCTAAAAAAAAAAAGATCAGTGAATTGATTCAGTCTGTTTATAATTTCCTCAGGTACTACAGTGCCACTATCCTGCAAATGTCTGGAGTCCGTGACGACAGACTGGCAATCTGGCTAGCGGGGCTGACCACACTTACTAACTTCCTGTTTACCCTTCTGGGCGTGTGGCTCGTGGAGAGGGTAGGCCGTAGGAAGCTCTCTTTGGGCAGCATTCTAGGTGAGACCCCAATAAGTTCCTTTTTTTTTCAGCTGCTACCAGGGTCCGATTTTCATGCCTAATTCATTTACTTATTCCCAACAGGCACATGTTTGAGTTTGAGTCTGCTGGCTGTAGGTTTTCTGATGTCTGCTCAACACAGCCCTCCAGTTACGGTTCACCCTCTGGACCCTATGATGGCTAACTCCACCTGCTCCAAGTACCAGTGAGTAAACACACATTTTCTCTTTTTTATTGGCAGCAATAACCATTTATTATCATCTGTTTTATCCAAACATCAGAATTTTCTGATGTTTCTCGAAATGACTGAGACTTGATCATAAATTGAAGAGGCAAATTGAATATCCTGTTTTTTGCATTGAACTCATTAAGAATCCATTAAACTAATTACGGTAATGAAAAAGACTTTGAAAAGCTGATGGATTCATACTATATATAATTTATGTATAATATGTTTTTATTCTTTACAGATGCTAATATTAAAACATTTTATGTACCTCTAACATCCGCTTAAGCAGGTTTAAACTGGTTATTCAAAAGTAATATATATATATATATGACATTCAGCTAATTTTAGACTTAAATGTGTTATTTCTTCACATGTGAATCAGACTTTTAATGCCTTACATACCTTCATTCAATCATTGTATTTACTATCAAGCCAATATTTGGCATTCTAGATGTTTTACACTTTTCATCTCATACAGGTTTTTACTATATTATGGTTGTACAGAAAAAATGGAAGTCAGTATCTTCACTGCAGCAGATGGTTGTTTGGACTTATGCCTGTTTGATAAAAGAGTTGTGTAAGATTTATGCAGCTTTATGAGTCTGGTTTAAAGAAGGTGTTGAAAGAATTTAAAACCAGCCTTTCGACTTTGCAGAAAGGTGTCTACAGGTGGAGGGAATTCCAAATACCTGCTAATATGGCAAGGTCTATAAATCTGAGCATGTTTACCCCAGGAAAAGACAACAAGATGTTAAAACAAGCTTGAAATCTAAAATGCCGTCATGGGACATACAGGAGACTCTTCCTCTGTTGATTTAAAGCTGCACGTCTGTAGAGATGCACCGATACACATTTTTTTCACTTCAGATTAGATTTGGATACTTGAAATGAAATATCTTTTTCTTTTTTTTTTGCTATACGACTCTGTTTACTTTAGTGCTATCATCATTACTTGTAATTTTTTAAGAGGCTTTCATGAACTCTTCTCTACAAGCAAGTATGATATCACTTTACACATTTTATATCCACAAACTCAACTTGAGATTAGAATGACGTCAAATGAGGAAGTAATTCAACAATAAATCAAGATTTTAGTCTCATGATTTGTTTGGAGGTTTTTGTGAGGACCCAAATGCAGAGGCTGAGAGGCAGGGGCGAGTTCTTTGATTATTTAATGGGATAACACAGGTAGAAAAAACAGGAATTCAAAAATCCAACTTAAAAATGTTAAACAAAAACAGGAATCCAAAAATCCAACATAAAAATTAAACACTAACCAGAACCATGGAGACATCAGCGGAAAACAATCACTAGGAGCCAGGGTGAGACAAAGTAAGACGAGGAACCAGCACTGAGGAACTGCATAAGGAGTGCATTTATCGGAGACTGAAACAAAGAGAGCAGACTGGGAGCAGGTGTGAACAGAGCAGAACAGGAAAGGAGCTAGGGAAAAAGGAGAACACAAGAGGGCAGCAGAGGACAAGCAAAGAAAAACCTAAGAAACTTTAAAAAATCCAGAACATACCAATAAAGCTAGAAAACAAGGAAAAACCTGGATAAACTTGAAACTGAAAACTTAGAGAAAACCAACAGAACCAAGATCTTTACATATAGGGCAGATTAGGTCGGGGGGAAAATATGATAGGGTTCAGATTAACTGGATTTATTAAATTGAAGACAGATGGCTAAAAAGAGCTAAACTTTCCATCTTTTCCAAGGATTTTTAACCCAATTTAAATTTATGATTGAAACAGACTTAATACATCTGTACCTATGGATCAGGCCTATTTTCATCAATACCCAATCCTTGTTTAGTTTTTTTTTTTTTTTTTACTGTTTATAATGTTGAATTGGTGCATCTAAAACAGCAAATTTTCCAAGGACCTGCTGAGAACTAAAAAATGAAATTTTCTGAGTTGGGTTAAAGCCTAAAACTTAATTTTACAGAGATGTGGTGAGTTTACTTTAAGGGGCAGTGCATACCACAAAATCCCCAAATACTCATTAGTCATATTGTCTAACAAGTTAAACCAATAATTCAGAAACAGTAATATCATTTACTAGCTTAAAAAAATGCATTTTTAGTCTTCTACTCCATTATTACTTAAGGAATATAACAAATAAAGCAATACATGAGAAGATATTACTTCAAGTCTGTCTTAATGTGTGGTTCTTATAGCATGGCATGATTGACGAAGGAAATTTGAAATGAACAGACAGAATGTTTTATTTTCAAAATAAAAGATAAACTAAGTAGCTGGGTAGGATAGATGGAAAGCAAACCAGAGGAGTCAATGAACTGAAATGAGAAGCAGCTGTTTGAGAAAGATGGCGGAGTAGCTAAAGTAGGTCAACTAATTAGCCTGAGCATGAACAGATATACAAGAAAATCATGGAAAATATGTAAATCGAACAAAAAGCAGTGGTGGGAAGGACAACACATATAAAATAAATTAATAAGGAATGCTGCTTCACCCAAACACCTCTAGACCTCGAAAGAACCAGAGTCAATAAAAGCTACTAATCACTTTTTTATTATTACTGCTTATGTCACTGTGGTCAACATGGGATTTATTTTTCTTTTCCAAAACGCACACACGTATACATAGAGACAAACTGGTACCTTCAGTATCTCTTCATGCGAGACAGAGATCAGATGCCTCTTTCTTCTAATTTACTCTCACTTACATCGACACAAGACAAAACTCCAGGGTAAAAACACTCATTCTGATGAAAAACAAAGCCTAATGGACTCACTGACCGGGACCAACTCCCTGTAATTCCACCACCCCGACTCAAACACACACACACACACATACAAAAACACCAAAGTAATTTGAAGAGATGAGTGCTTTTACCACTCTCAAATGGCTTTGTTGTGTTCCCACACATGCTCTCAGCAACCACCGCAGTATTAGTACCACCACAGCCTGATTTTTTCTGTTATGGACAGAGCATCTGAATTCATCTCGTTTATCACTACAGTGGTGCGAAAAAGTTTTTGCCCTGTTCAAAATGTCTATTTTCGCTTTATTGATGTCATTCAATGTTTCATATCTGCAAAAACGTGAAGTATCAGATATCAAATAACCTGACTGTAATTATCTTTAATTGCCAATTCTTTCTTAAATCCAAGTTTAATTTCACTATACAACTAAATATTAGCTGTAAAATCAAGAAATCCTTTAAATAGAACCTCTCCGACAACACGAAGTAGGTTAAAAGGTATTTAAACGTGACACATTGGGCTAAGATTTTAAGAAATTAACAAAAGACAAAAGCTTTTCCATTTATTGGTTTGGGATTAACTTATCAGCAAGCAGAAAAGCAGAAATAAACCTTCCCAGGGATAGTTGGACTACCTAAAGTACTCCAAGAGTGCGTCCAGAATATAGCCATGAGGTCACAGAAGATCCTAGAATAACATCTAAATATTGCAAGCCTCCATTCAAATTACAAAAATTAGTCAGCTTTAATAAAGTAAGCCATTATCATGCAAAAACATTTATTTATTTTTTCTCCTTTTCTTCACATTTGTTTTACTGAGGGGCTAATGTGTTTAAATCCCACTATTTGGTTTGCAGGATGTGCGAGCCATGTATGCTGGACCCTCGCTGTGGCTTCTGTTACCGTGAGAACGGCTCAACACTCATTGCCTCCTCCTGCGTGTCGGTCAATAAGGAGTCCACCGAGCACGCAGCATGGGGCAGGTGAGTCACAGGATGCAGAGTAAAGCACCGGCACGCTTGTGGGACTTACTGGGTCGGTTCCAATCACATCCTGTATCCAGCTGAACTTCAGCCAAAGGAATGTGTCTCCTTCTTTCAGATGTTCAAATTCTACCCTCATGAGAGATCAGACTTACTGGGCCTATAACTACTGCCCCACCTCATATTCTTGGCTGGTTTTGTTGGGGCTGGTGCTCTACTTGGCTGCTTTTGCTCCGGGTAAGAGAAAGAAATGTTGTTTTTTGTGTTGGACCTATTAGAAATGTTGGAAGTCAGAAGAATTTGCGGGAGATTTCTCATCTAGAATTCTCTAATCCGTGGACTCTATTTGTAGTCAATGCTTTGGAATGAGATTTTTAAAACTTTGACTGGACTGAGATCTAAACATGTTGCATCTCAACCCTTACCAGGTCTTTCATCCATGGCTGAATTTTAACAGGTGTCAGTAGGTTAAAATTCCTCTAAAGACCAATTATTACCAGTTTATGCTTTCACTCAATGTTAGTCGTTGCTGCAAAAGTTGGCAAAGAAATTAATTTGAAAATGCATGAAGCATTTGGGGGAGTGTTTCTCTAGTGGGTTAGAGCAATGCTGTGCACTGAGAAGGTTGCAAGTACCCGATTCGATCCCCACAGCCTGCACTGGTCCTTGAGCAAAACCCTTAACCCCTCCAGTTACGGTCCCTGGGCGCTGCACAGTGGCACCCCCCTGCTCCCCAAGCAGATGGGTTAAATGCAGAGGTACATTTCTCCAATGTGAGATCATTTAAGTTCAGTAAAGCTAATTTATTATTTACTTAGTTTATTTTTGCCTTATTTCAAGCATTTTGCTGCTCTGATAAAGATTTAAATGTGACAAAACAGCAAAGAGATTAAATCTATAAAGCAGAAAACATCAGTTCAGAGAGTTAATCCCTATATCACAAAAACGTTAAACAAATGCAGAAACTACATTAGTCATCCAATTGCAATCCCTTCAAATGTTTTATGTTAAGTTTTTACGTCTTTAGAATACAAGAATCTCAGTTTTGTCTCCTTTTTACATTAAGTTGTGTTTATTTGAACTGAGACTAAAGAGATTCAAGGTTTTCAGCTATTAATGGAGATTGAATGCACTTTAATTTAATCTTGCTTCAGGCTTTAGTTTGGCTTTAGAAAATTCAATCCGCTGCTGCTGCTGCCGGTGAATAACTTCCCAATAATGGTTGCCTAACACGATATTTGTAAGAATCAAACACTTTAAAATTAAATGAAATCAACCATTAAAATAAAATAATTAAAAAGCAATGAGATAATTGCATAAAGATTTAATAGATCAAGACTGCAGTTTAATTGGTGTTGATTATATTCGCTGGTTTTAAATGGTTGATCAGTTTTCATCTGCACGTGTTCATTCTAAGATCATGTCTCTATATACAATAAAGTGCACCAATTAAAGTAAATTCTATTTACCAGGTATGGGACCGATGCCATGGACCATTAACTCAGAGATCTACCCGCTGTGGGCGAGGAGCACAGGGAACGCCTGTGCTGCAGGAGTTAACTGGACCTTCAACATCTTGGTTTCTGTCACCTTCCTCCATCTGGCTCAGTACCTAACTTACTATGGTCAGCATTTTTTTTATTTCAAATATATGTAATAACATAGCATGAACTGTCTTTTCTGGAAATAATAAGGAAGATTAATAGATAACTTGCAGGGTTGTCTTTTGTTTCAGTGGGGATCTCCTCAGACAGGCAGGGGCTGCCCTTTAGTGAAGCTAGAAATCAATCCGAGGTGTTGATTGAGACTTCCTTAGCCAATCATCGATTTGACCTGTTGTTAACCCATTAATCTGTTTTGTTTTTTTTTTAAGAAAAATAAATTATGTTGACATTGAGGTGGTATTTAACCAACAATTATCCCTGGTTGCAGCAAAAATGGAAATGGGAATCATAGGATCCAGGATATCTAAATAAAACTCTTGCACTTTATGCTTTATTTCTTCTGATCCGATGCGTTTTGTGCTCTGTGGAACGCTGACAGAACCTCGTTACGCCACACATCCTTCATCATATCCCCACTGGCAGGCGGAAAGCAATATTTCAGCCTGGTAAAACATTTCTATTCAACAGCTTGTGCTTTAATCTTCTGCTGAAGTGTGTAGGCGATTAGCATCCTGTAATAGCTGCTGTTTGGATTTGCTGTCACAAAGGCTGATTCTTTTCCCAGGGTTCCCGCACATTTTTCCATGTCAAAATTTCCTACTTTTCTACATTTAAAAGGAATAAATTGACATTTTTTTAAAGGAGGAATTCAATTAATTGCAATTAATTGTCATTAATTTAATTACTTAATAATTAAATGTCTGATTGGCTGATCTGCGGCATCGAGCAGCAAGCTGCTGCTTGTGAAGCTCAGAAGGTCATGAGGCGCTGCTTCAGCTTCTTCGATGCATCAATATGCGCTGCTCCTGCTGCTCGAGACACACTGCAGGACCTTTTGATGCTTCTTGATGTGCGCCACCGATAGACTTTGCATGTTAACCAGCTGCTTTAATCACATTATGCTACATTCAGACCGCAAGCACCTGAAGCAGCAAAAAGGCTTCTGCTGCTTCATTTTTTATGCTTGTACACATTAGGTCAGACGCGCCTCAAGTACAAGTCAAGTAAAATGTGTCCAGATGCTTCTGCTGTTCAATGGCAAAGAGTGGCTTTGTTATATTTGCTGTTATAAGTAGTTTTAATATGTTTTTAAGTGGGAAAGTCCACCTGAAAACTTCATCTGGGCGGTCACCTCATCATTATTATGATCCTGCCTTCAAATATTATTTCTCCGTCGGACCAGAATGAAACCCCTGTACACTATCGGTGCTCTGTCACTGGAAATCCCCTTCAACAACAGCCTCTGGCCCGTTTGCCTCTTGGAGGTTTTTCTGCTACTGTTGGCGGCGGCTGGAAGGCATTTGTCATGTACGTAATCCAAACTGTAGGAACCAGAATAATAAAATCGAACATATTTTGCCGGCAGGTTTCAACATTTTAAGGTAGTTTATGCATTAATAAGTGGAGTGAACATAGCCATATGAATAAGCAGTGCTGTGTCTGTCTCCCTGACAACTCCCAGATCAGATCAGCTTCTCTGATTGGTTGATGTAGTGTGTTTAGCAGCAAAAGTTAAAATTTTCCAACTCCAGCACCTGCTGCTTGGGATGCGCGTCATGAGGTGCTGCTTCAGCTGCTCACATGCCTCAAGATACGCTGCTTTTGCTGCTCTACACCCGCTGTAAGACCTTTTGATGCGCCTTGATGCATGTCATCCATTGATCTTGCATGTAAAACAGCTGTTACTGCTGCTTCTGCAGCATGCGGTCAGAATGTAGCATTAGGTGTGAACGTAGCATTAGGCTACCTCTTTTCTAAACCTGGAACATGCTTAAACCAAATTCTAGGCATTCCTTTCTAGACGGTTTTCTGGTAGAAATCCCCCTAAAAGTCTAAAACGTTGCAGTATTAAGTTTCCTCATCATAATGCATAGCCACTCCTGATCAAGCGTTCTTCTGTTTCCCCCAGGAGCTTTCTTTCTGTACTCCAGCATGGCGCTGCTGGGCTTCATCTTCATCTACGGCTGCCTGCCAGAAACCAAAGGCCGGCGCCTGGAGGAGATTGAGGCGCTGTTTGAAAACCAGCTCTGCTCATGCGGTGCCTCTGACTCGGACGAGGGCCGGCAGGTCGAGTATATCCGCGTCAAAGGTTCCAATTACCATCTGTCGGACAACGACGCGTCGGACGTGGACTAAGAAGAGCTTACCCGTTGCTGAAACCTGCTCCGAAAAACCTGAAGAGCGATCCGGTCTATAATATCCATCTCATTTTGTGATCGGTGCCACTGGTTACCCTCACCGTGAGGTTAAGACAGACCTCGATCAGGAGGCGAGACTGTTTCCCCAAACACTCAATGCAAAATAATCTGGTACAACTTTGTTCCTAAAAGGTACAATACATGTGTCGCTTGGAAACCACATCACCTTAGCTGACCTGACAGCTGTCGTCGTGACTTGTTGTATCTCCATAGTGCCGTTATACCTTTCAGTATGAGATACGGTTCCGATTAGTGTTGTTTCAGCTTGTAGCATAAATGCAGTAATTTTAGCTCCCCTAGATGGTAGTCTCCAGTTTGTTGATGGTCTCAAGCGTTTTACGGAAAGGAATAAACAGACATGCACAATGTTACACCTTAGCACACTTGCATTGAGACCCCTTTGGAAGCACAGGAATGTTATGTTAAGGAAGTTTTCTAATGTTGATCCTACTGCCACAAGATGTGCCAACAAACCCCCCCAAGACGAGTCCCACTAACCACTCCTCAGAGGATCTGCTTACTGGACACGCTATAAATCTATTATGTTCTGATGAAGCAGTCAAGTAAAAAGTACTATAATGTACATGGTAATATTAGTGCCTGTGTAATGTGCCTAATGCCTATTTTTTTGTTGCATTCGTTGCATGTTTAAATGGCTTTTTTACGTTCAAATTTGTTATCTTTTTGTCTTCCTTCATAGCCTTACGTACAAACTAGAAGAACATTTTGTTTCAGTCTGCTTTAATATATTTTTGGCAATGTTTTGTATCAACCGGTGTGTAGTTACTGCTTTGCTCTCGACTTCAGGAAGAGGTCCCTTTGTAGCAAAAACCATGGAAGTAAAAATGAATAAGAATAAAACTGTGTAAAAATAACTCATCAATAAAGTAAATATGCCCAAAAGACGGGTTCCCGAAGGCAGATCCAGCATAATTCACGTCTCTATTAAAATATATCTGTTTTAATAAAGATGACCATGAACTCCCATGCTGCATTAATTGTCACTATAAATTCAGGATTTATTTATCAAACTGACACCAGTATGCATAAAAAAACCAGGGGGGATTTATACAAGAGAAGGTAATATTTCAAACAATGTTAAAAAGCAGGAGAGTAGCGCCCTCATGTGGTAAAATATTTAACCAAAAAAGTGATTTAAGGACAGATGTCAGTGAAAAGAGGGGAGTTTCCTGCAGCCAGTCACTAAACCTCACAGTTTTTGCTTTATGTGAAGAGAAAGGTGCCACCTCTAGTCACACTGCTGGAAAAAAGTATAAAGTGCCATCAGAAGTGTTCATCGTCCATTTTTTCCTATTATAAGGATAATGTGTTTTATTGGAATATTATGTGACTGAACAAAAAGAAAAGTAGCCTAAAGAAAAGCATCACCACAGCATAATGGTGCCATTACCATGTATGTGAAGGCTCAGTGTTAGCTGTCTATGACTTTGACTATTCAGTTCAAATCAGATCAACATGCTTGCTTTGTGCTCTAGATTATTCCTTTATTTTCAAGCTATGGACTTCTTTTTTTTATATCAGTCTACCTTAATGACCTAATAAAATACAGTACTTTAGAGTTGAAACAATTAATTAATCCTTATTAATTACTAATTGAAAAAATCATCAACTTATTTAATAATCACTTAATCGGTAACTGGAATATAGACTCTAAAACAGGCCTTTAGCAGACAGAGCAACTCATTTAGTGCAGTAATTATACCTAAACATTTTGCATTTAAGATGGAAAAAAATTTTTTAATCTATCGAGAACACCTTCAGTGGAAAAGTTTTAGTTTCACCTGGTTTAATTTCGTAAAAAACCTTCTTTAAGGAACCTTTGGCTATCCTATTCTTAATCAATCCCAAAAAATAATCGACAAATTAATTGAGTTGCAAACTAATCGTTAGTAGCAGCCCTAAAATACATTCAGGTTTCGCTTTAAAAATAAAATAAAAAAGGATCAAGGAGAATTAATACTTTTCAAAGGCACTGTATACATGGCATCTTTAAAGATATTTGACATGTAGAGTGCCTGTGATGTGTAGTAGTAGGCTAAAAACCTCCCTAAGCTGTCTTGAAACCACACAAACTAATTTTGTACATATATTGCACCACAGAGGATGTGTTGATAAAATATTAAACTCATTGTGTACCTCTAATATGATGTCCATATAGGATACAGTGATGTTAAGCCCTCTACATCCAGATGTTTTAACACCTTTCTGTGGCAGAAGCCATGTAATGTGTACTTCTGGTAAAATTGGTTGCTTTTTTTTTTTTTTTTCCTTATGTGATCTAGTTACATGGTTCTATCTTATTGGGTAATAAGCACCCAGATAAAAAAAATAAATAAATCTCTGTATATTTGATTATTGTTCAAGATGTAAATGTTTTGCTAGAGTTTATATTATATAAGGATGAAAATCTCCATGCAGTTGTATGTAAATGAAGACCGAAATAAACTCGAGAGTCCAAGTGAAAGCTTTTTGTTTTATTATTAGATAACATATATTTGATACAGTTAATTAAATTATGCTTCTTTCAGCTAGAACAATGAATACTTCATGTCAGGTTTCCTATGTCTGCCTCCTTTCCTTCCATCACTCCTGATCATTCCTCCTCTGCTTCATTAGGAGTAAAACGTCGGCTATTTCTCGAAGCGTCTCCTCCTCTTCTGAGAGTGTGTGACCTCTGCTGGCAGATGTGACCTCCTGTCTTCCCCTGTCGAACACCTCTCTTACCAAAGGGTTGTTTTCATCTGGCCCAGTCCGCTCTCTCATTCCCCCGTTTTCCTCTCCTATGTGCGAAACATGAGGGCAGTACAGCTTTTAACGAAGTAGCAGGACTTTAATATCAAATGCACAAAGCTGATAAAAGATTATCCCATTTTTATTACTTGTTTAGTACTATTTCTACATATGCAGGAAACATTTGGGATCTAATGGCAAGAAGTGAGATAAAAACTTCAGGAGGTATGTAAATATATGGTTCCAACTCTGAGTAATACCTTTTAGGCTCCAAATACCAATTACAGGTTTGATGAGTCTCTTTTCTGCAGTGACATTGTTGAAAGCCATGCCTCCTGAGGCATTCTTTGGTTTCTTCCAGCTCAAAAGAGCCACTCCATCTTTACTTCCTGGCCCTTTTGATGAAGCTCTGAGTGTCTGTGGCTCCACTTCGGACTCCCTCTCATGTGCTGGGAACTGTTGAGACGCGTCCACAGCTGGTCGAAGCAAAGGGAAGCCAGAGGCTCTGGTCTTTGTGTTTTCAACAAAGCTGCACTGGGTTGAAGCATCCTGAGTATCAGCTGCGCTGGTGTAGGCTGTCTGAGTCCCTACGTCTTGACTCTCGCTGCACATTTTCTTACATCTACATATTTCTGAGCTCTGAGTTTCAGCTATAGGGCGAGGAGATGAAAACGGAGCATTGAAGGTCCCTGTCTGCTGGCCTCCAGAGGCAGTATCTGTGATGGCCTCATTCAGCGTCATGTTTGGGGTTCCTCTGACATTCGTTTTGGATCTCATTAGTGGGGTGAGAGGCTGCTGCTGCTGGGAGAGGACTGTAATTCTCTGTGAGGCTGATTTACGACCATCAGAACAGCAGGCTTCATCCGAATAAAAAGCAGGTTCTTGGGGACATGACTCGCAGTAGGGTTCATCCTAAATAACATAGGAGTAAAGAACAGTGTTAATAATAGGCTGTTACTAATGTAAAAAAAACAAGTTTGTTCAACAATCCGTTATGAGGTAACGCTGTGGGTCTTTTAGCAGTTCAGTTCCACGCAAACACGCAGAACCAGTTATATCTGATATAATATATCTGATGAAATTGTTTTATAAACTAACTTTTTTTTAAAAAGCATTTTAAATGCCACTATAAGCATATTTAATGAATTTTAATGCCAATTAAGGCCTTCATTTAAAAAATAAAACATTTCAATGACCCGCGGAAACCCTTTAAAGGTGTTTAGGCCAGAACACACCGAATCCATTTTTGCCTCCGATCTGAAAGCAAATTGGAAGCGTTTAGCGCTCATTAAAAAAGTCGATTAGGATGATCCCACCCAACCGGATTTTACGCAAAGGGGGGGCTGCGTAAGTCCGACTGAGATGGACCCCAAGTCTATTTTCGTCAGACTAAAAGAACACTTCAGCAGTAATTTAATGGGTCTGACAGGAAGAGCGACGCAGTTACAGAGTAAAACACATCAACTTTGGGGGAAAATACAAAATAAAATCTGTTAATCAGACGGAGAACGAGTCAGTTTTGGAGTGGCACAAAGCAGACACAGCAAGCAGGACAGGCTCATGCAAAAACAATCAATGAAACATTTTTAAGAGATACTTTATCTATGATAGGAGTTAAGGAGGACTAAAAATGGATAGTGATCCTCTTTAATCCTCACAAAAAACTATATAAAGAGGGTTAGATAATGCAGGTAAGCGCGGCGTATCTCTCTCACCTCTTAATGAAAAAGAGAAAGAAAAACTTCCCTGATTTCTCTCTGAGAATCACCTCTCTTTGCCTCAGTCGGCATATAAAATGCCCCACAGTGTTTATTACTGTTTTCTTTTCTTTAGTCTTAGATCTCATTATATTTTTAATACATGAAAATTTTGTATCTGTTCTGGTTTGAGATGCTGCACAGACTCACCTTGCTTTATAAAATGCACCGCTGTTTTTGAATTTATTTTATGACTTTTCATAATCTGTCCACGTCAAATGTGGGAAAAATTTTCATTTGTGTATAGCACAAGCATAGAGACAGAAAAAAAAAAAAAACATATCTGTACAGATCTTCTCACCCTGCCTAGCCATAGCCTCTCTTTATGGAGTCAGTGTGTTCTGAGGCCAGAACTGGTGTGTTCTGGCCTTTTGTCTGCCAATGCCCTGATCCTACCTGTGATTTTAAGCAAACCACGCATAACAATCTTGTAGGCAAAAAGACTTGCAATAGTCCTTAACAAGACAAAAACACACAGAATGAGCCCATTAACCTACATCACATAGTTAAAGGTCTAGAGACTTAATGATGAATCACAAGAGGTTCCAAATAATTCAGTCTTTAGAGGAGAATTTCATTGATTTCTGTAAAACCTCTTTAACCCAATATGTATGAGGTGAGAGTAGAGCCTCTTTTCACTATTTTCACCAACTATCTAGGTTTAACACAATCCATGACTAAATAAAAGATTTTCATCCAAACTAAGGGATAGAAGCAATCCTTTTAGGAATTAGCACATTCCAGTTCAAGCTATGAATACTATGAGAGTGAAAAAAGAGGGACATCCACACTGATAGTAATTCAGGAAATTGGCGAAGGTTTACAAATGCAAATGAACTTACATCATTGGAGTCTGAACTGGGGTAACCTCCTCTGCATGAGCAACTTGGCGAGTATTCAAAGCTTTCCAAAAGCCCAGCATTCTCTCCCAGACATGCTGTGGGTTTTAAACACACGGCTATTCAGTTCAGGGAGCTTTTTCACTTCCAACATATACACACAATGACTGAGCTCCCTACTTGATGTTCACAAAACTTACAGGAATGTGTGTCACTGCAGTGGAAAAGCTGAGAAAGAAACATACAAATATCTAAAACAGTAAACCCGTCAAATGCTCCAATTTGAAGAAAATAACAGCAACAAAAAAGCTGTGTAAAAATGACACTTTGGACATTTTATCCTCTGCTGGTTTAATAGAACAGTTGCACGCACAGATTCCAACACTAGGTGGAGACAAACTGTTAAGATTAGAGGTCTTACCTCCATTCCAGAAGCCTGAGGATTGGGCACAGTTCTGACAGAAAAAAATAAGGGGAAAAAAAATAAAAATGACACAAAGAAAAACTCAATAAATACATTAAATTATAGACTCCTACTGAGGGGATGGAGGTCTCACTGATGATTCCTCTCTGAGATATTGCATTCCTGCATCCCCAAAGGGAGCACCTGAGATAACACATCCAAAATTAAGCAAAGTAAAGAGATCATAGTGTTTTTGGTAAGGTTTTCAGGAGTTTTTTTTTTTACTTTCTCTCCCATGCTTATCCTCATTAAAAATTGGGAAGTCTTCCTCTTCAAACAGATGGAGGGGTTCAGAATGGCTTCTTGGAAATTCCAGAGTGGGCTGTTCAGGCTCCCGCTGATTTAGAATAAAGGGACCTGAATGTTCACCATAACTTCCTGCTTCAGTTTTACTGTAAAATAAAAAAATACATAGAAATGATCTTAATTCAAAAACAAAAAAATTAATAAAATAAAATCTCCTGAATTGTGTTTTCCTTCCTCACTCTGGTTTTGGGCTTCCAAATAGGAATTGGGATGTGGGGGTTCCCAGCTGGAAAGGGGGTGGGTTGGATCGGACAGACCAGGATATGGGATCCGTCATACTTCTGGGCTGGGAGAAGGGCTGAAACTACAACAGCAGCAAACCCACTTAAACACTCATTTAAACTAAGATGGACAGGCTTTGTTTTAACAGCACAGGTTCCATCATTAACTAAACTAACTAAAGACATTTTCAGGATTCCTACAGAACTTTTAAGCAAAAATTTTCACATGCCTGTGCAATATGACAAATATAACAAAACAAAAAAAGCAATGCTACAGTGTTATGAACAATCAATCACCTCAGCTTGTGGCAAAGTTGATGTGTCCCACTGTGGAGGTGAATAGTGAGGAAGAGGCTGTGTCTGGGCCTGTTTTTGCAGGAAAAATCCTGGAAGAACCAGATTTTCATTAGTCATTACGCCAAATGTGTTCATTTACTGTCTAAATGTACACAGAATATTGCTTCATGGCTGTTTGTTTGGTCAAACCGTGGCCTGAAGGGGAGATGGACGGTGGTGGGTCATTAATGGATGGCAGGTAGTCAGATGCACAGTTCTCTGAAAATACTGACTCCAATACTGGTGATAACTTGTGATTGTTTAAGAAAGAAGCTTATTACTTTGTTAAAAAAATAAAATAATGTATTAAACTTTACAAATGCAGTAACTGACCTGTCTATTTTTGAACCTCTGTGGACTCATTTGTTCCCTGATCTCTTTAACACTAGTTTAAAACAGACAAGAAGTCAAACAGTTTGCTTTGTGCAAATAATCAAAAGGCTTCGATGTTCCTGCCCTGTGGTGTGGATTTCACCAGCTTCACCTGCTCTGAGCGGCTCCCTCCACAAAGTTGAGACGGGATGGAGAACAAGGGCTCATTGGAAGAACAATCTTATGCCTGGATCCTTTAGACCTGCCAAATGTGGCTACTTTTGGAGGTTCTGGGGGAAAACAATGGAAAACCACTTAGTATTTCATTAAATACTACTTAGATTAAATGTTTTATAGAAAAATGATTCTTTTTTTTCTTAAACCCTAACAAACCCATCCTGTTCACTATTTTTTTCTTCTAATTTTACTCTTTAAAAAAAACACTGAAACATGCAGGCTGACATTAATTTATTAAGATTAAGGCATTTTTTTCAGGACACGATTTGCATAAAACAAATTAAAGCATTGGTGAAGCCTTAAAGCTCTATGCTGCATATAATAGTGGTTTGGAAAAGCTATCCTGCCCTGGCTGATGTAATATGACATTGACTGTAGGGTTGCAACTAATGGTTATTTTGCAAATTGATTAATCTGTTGATTATTTTTTTTATTAACAGATTAATAATCAGACAGCAAAAGGTTCCTTAAAGAAGACTTTTTACTAAATTAAACCAGGTGAAACTAAAACGATTCCACATGAGGAGTTCTAGATAGAGCATATTGACAGAAAAAAAAGATTTTTATCTTAGATCCAAAATGTTTACATGTTGTTTTTAACAATTTTGGTACAATTGTTGCTCAAGGGTTAGTTGTTTTGTCAGCTAAAGATACATTTTAGAGTATCTAAACTCCAGTTAACGATTAATCTATTACTAAATTAGTTGATGATTATTTCAATAATCAATTAATCCATTTAATTGTTTCAGTCCTAATTGACTGTAAACATTAAAAAAGATAAAAACAAAATAGAAGGTCCTGGGTTGGGTTAAAGCTCCTCTTGATTTCAATAAAGTGCACTAAGATATTCTACATTTACTATGTAAAACTTGTTATTTTTGCTTATTTAAAAGCAATAAACTAATTTCCAGAGAAAAAAAGCATCATGAGGGAATTTCCTGATACATACTCTAATATTTAACATGATTTCCATTTTTTTCATGGCTGTTTGATTGTAACTTTACCTTGATTAGTTTTTGTGGAAGCTATCTGGTTGACAACAAACAAGGTAAGAAGGTCTGTGCCCCCATTGCTGATGTCTCCTGCAGAGCTAGCAGGAGGAGCTACTCCCAGCTTCTGTAGTTTTTGCTGCAGCTTTTTCTTCGCAAAAAACTCCTTTGACATAAATGGAAAATAATAAATTACACCAAAAAGCGGCTGATTTACGAGCAATTAGTAAAAACCATCAATTAATTTAAAATACATGTCTTACCTTTTGCTTTTTTGCATCATTCTTCATCACCAACCGATTCCTAAAAGAGAGCAGCCATTTTTGCTAGCTAACATGTACATTTCACAAGCTAACATGTACATTTCAGGACTGCACAGCTGAGAAAAATATTTATTCGACTCTTACCTGGAACCCCCGACCCAATTCATTTCTTTGGCAGTTTCGGTCCGATAAAACTATTTAAAACCAACGTTTAACGGTTAATTTTATGACATATATATTTAGCTAATGAGCTTGTCAACGGTGGGTCGCGAGGCGAAGGTTGAACATATCGCACGCGCTGCTAGGTCAGGAAGCTCCTTTGTTTTTATTGGTTGGAAATGGGCGAATTTACTTTAAATTATTTGTCTTTTACATTTTTTTAACGGCAGTATTTTCTTATTATTAATAAAACTTATTGGTGAAGAATTAAATTAGAATCGGGATTTGTTGAAACAGTTCAAGTTATTTTAACTTGAACTTGAATTTTAAAGAAACCAAGGCTGTTTTTTTGTTTTTTTTAGAAACCAAGGCTGTTATAGCTGTGTCATCCATCCATATTATTCTGATCCACACTAGCAGTAGACCAATAAACGTTGTTTGTGTTTTAATTAGGAAATAACCAGTCGAAATAATTACAAAGATACTCCATTAAAATTATATGGCTTTTAATAACCTACCTGTCTTAATAATACATAAATTATTAGCAACAGAAATACAGGTTTGCATTAATTAGGTAGCCAACATGGGTTAGTGGGGATTTGTTTACAGATAATACATTAGTTATAGAGGAAATAAAAAGCAAAAACAAAAACAAAACACAAGGACTTGGGTCATGAACTTATGGAAGATGATTAGGGCCAGTGAAAAAATAAAAAATAAGTTAACTGTTTTTTATTATTATTATTTAATTCATTTTAATATGGGAAAAAATTATTCTGACGTTTTTCTCAGAATTGTGACTTTAATCTCATAATTCTGACTTTTCCTCAAAACTCTGACATTTTTCTTAAAATTCTGACTTTAATCTCAGAATTATTACTTTAATCTCATAATTCTGACTTTCATTCAGAATTCTGACTTTAATCTCCGAATTCTGACTTTAATCTCATATTATACTGAAATAAAATTTAAAAATCAGTTAACCCTTTTGATTTTTTCAGTGGCCCTAATCCTCTTCCATATGAACTAAATGTGGATATGGATGTTATTAACATTTTTCTTTTTTTTCTTTTTGCCCAATTATTTTTTATTACATTTTAACATTCTTATTAACACACACAAAACACAGCACAGTATATAAAAACAAATCCAAACATACACCAAATTAAAATTACAGCACTATAACAGAAAGAACCAAACTATAAATAATAAAATGAAGAATATAATGCTTCTTAGCATACACTTGACATCAAAATACCTCCGTACTCTTCCAGAAAGGATAAGAATGGATACCTTATCTCCTCAAATTTTTTACATTTACCATTCACTATATAATAATTTTTTTCCATGGCCATGTTAGTTACCATTTCTTTCGACCAGTCATTTACATGCGGTGCTTGGACTTTTTTCCAAAACAAAGCTATAAGACGCTTGGCTTATAAGAAACACATGTCAAGGAAAATTTATTCCTTCTTCTCAAAGGCATTTCAGGAGGATATAAGTGCAAAACAACTGTGTTTGCTGATAATTGTAGATTAATACTTGTCATTTTATTGATTATATCCCTCACCCCTTTCCAGAAAAACATTATATGTTCAGACTATCATATGCAATGATAAAAATAACCTTTGAATGTGTTGCATTTTGTGCAGGTATCAGGAAGTTTCATTATACTTGTGCAGAATAGCTGGAGTTATGTAAGTCCGCATCAACCATTTATATTGCAATAATTTCAGTCGTACACTTATTGTTTGTGTCTGAGCTTCCTTACATGCCTCTGTCCAATCACTCTCACATAGATCTTCTTCTAAGATCTGTCTTAGAAGACAGGCTTTTAATTTATTAACTGCCGATTCTTTTGATTCTGATGCTATAATTCTGTATAGGTGTCACATTAAACCTCTTGCATAGCAGTCTTTTACCCTATCTGTCTCTAACCTGTTTAGTACTGGCATGTCTAAACAATTCCTTTGAGCTACAAAAATAAAGTTTCTTATTTGTAAATATTTAAAGAAGTGCTTTGTAAAGGGATTATGTAAATACTTTAAATTTAGAGTATAAAGATAAAGTTTTAACAGCCTTTTTGTTATTGGAAGTGGACAATGTAGACCAGCTCCTGGTTATTAAACAATATTGTTTTATTTATTTTTTTATCTAGAAAACATACATTATTAAAAACACTTTTAAGACAGTTTATATCTTAAGTTAAATTAACTATAAAAATATATCATGACTAGTTGTTATAACAAATTTTTAAATTTAATATATCTACTTTTATTCAGTAACTTTTTGCTTATTTATTCATTAATGTATTACTTTTTGCTAAAACCCCTTGAATTTGTACCTCTTTCTGTACTATAAAGCATTTTCTAATAAAGTTTATACAAAAAAAAAAAAAATAAATAACCAGGAGCTTGGGTTTTATTTGCGGAAGCAGATGAACCAATCAAATTAGCGCTGCAGTGTTCTGTAGGGGGGGTGCGACCAATCGGAAAAGACGTACGCAGCAAAGTAGTGATGTCACCGGAAATCATTCTGCTTTTCAGAATAAAACGTCTAGAAGATGTTTAATTTTGGCAGCAGTACCCGGAAATGGATATTTAGCCTCCATCGTCGCACTTGTCGCAGGTGGGAAAGCAGCAGAATGTAACGGTTCCTCTCCTCACATCTTCACGGAACAACCAAAGCCGACCTCTCCGCCTTTAACTACGGCGAGTTGAATCCGTGTTTTTTTCTTTTTCTTTTTTTCCGGGGGATGGGTGTTGCGCGGACGGCAAACGTTTAAAAAGATGTCCAAGATCCTCGAAGCGGCGGCGAAATGGGACCGAACGGCTGCGGCGAAGAGAGCGTTGATCCTGGCGGCCGCCGCTTACGGCGTTAGGACGCTCTACCCCATCATCTGGAAGCAGCTCTGCGGAAACAAGAAGCCCAAAAGCGACCGGTTATTAGCCTCCAAGCCGGAGAACGGCTCAGCATGTCCGGGGAAAGCTCAGATAGACTCTGCTGGTGACAGGAAAGCATCCCCAGGAGTCAATGCGGAGTTTTTTAAGCAGATCCTGGAACTTGCTAAAATCCTCTTCCCCAAGCTTGTATCTAAAGAGCTAGGATTGCTGTGTTTGCACTCCGTGGCGCTGATCTCCAGGACATTTCTGTCTATTTACGTGGCCAGCCTGGATGGGAAGATAGTGAAGACGATCGTGGAAAAAAAGCCTCGGCACTTCATCATGCAGCTGATGAAATGGCTCCTCATCGCCATCCCGGCCACGTTCGTCAACAGCGCCATCCGGTACCTGGAGTGCAAGCTGGCTCTGGCCTTCCGCACCCGGCTGGTCAAGCACGCTTACCGGACCTACTTCACCGATCAGACCTATTACAGAGTCAGCAACATGGATGGGAGGCTCGCCAACCCGGATCAGTCTCTCACCGAGGATGTGATGATGTTCTCCCAATCTGTGGCTCATCTCTACTCCAACCTCACCAAACCGATCCTGGATGTGGTGCTGACCTCCTACACGTTGATTCAAACCGCCAGGGCGAGGGGAGCCAGCGCCAGCGGGCCCACCCTGCTGGCTGGCCTGGTGGTCTTTGCCACGGCCAAGGTCCTGCGTGCATGCTCCCCTAAGTTTGGCAAACTGGTGGCAGAGGAGGCACACAGAAAGGGTTACCTGCGCTATGTGCACTCCAGGATCATTGCTAATGCAGAGGAAATAGCTTTTTACAGAGGACACAAGGTAATTTATAAAGGCTTTATACAGCTTTATCACATAAATCCCTTTTGCATGCAATGCAGCATTCATCTGAGTATTTCATATAAGTCTTATGAGTGTGCACCATCCTTGCATGGTGGTGGATGCATCATGTTGTGATGGGGTGCTTTTTATCAGCAAGTACAGAGTGCAGAGTTAAATGCAACATACCATTAGGAGAAAAAATACAGCTGGATGATGAAAAGGCCTGAGATAAGATAAAGGTTCACCTTCTAGAATCCAACCCTGCTATGGAATAGTTTAGGCCAACCTACGGCTCCTTAGACACTCCACTTTATCACTTTGGCTAAAAATGATGAAGAGTCGGTTCATTTTTACAATAGATGCATTTTCTCTTTTCTAGTTGCATTGAACAGATGACAAAGATATGTTTTTTAAGCTGGAAAAAGGTTGTTTTTTCAACATGATTTAAAAAAAAATCTAAACTTTTTCTAGATATGTGTGAAAGGTTGGCTTCTTTTAAAGAAAAAAAAAAGCTTATGGAAGCTCAAGTTGAGTTTTATTAGCTAAGCTGAAGTTAAATATTGTTTTAAATTCTCAAAATAGACTGTAATTGATAACATTAGAATTTTTACTTTTATCTTTTTTAAGGGGGAAATCTTTTTTTTTCTTATGCTGATTATCAGCAACCCGTTAAGTGTGTTTATTCCCCTTTTTTTTGCATTTTTCCCCTTTATTTTAGAACCTTTAGATCAGTGGTCTCCAACCCTGGTCCTCAAGATCTACTGTCCTACAGATTTTAGATGCATCCCTGCTTCAACACAGCTGAAACAAATGAATGGCTTGAAAAGGTAATCAATCATTTGATTCAGCTGTGTTGAAGCAAGGATGCATCTTAAATCTGTAGGATAGTAGATCTTGAGGACCAGGGTTGGAGACCACTGCTATAGATGATACTGCATAATGTTTGTTTAAAAATGAAAAATCTCTTGTCATGGATCTTTATAAAATGTAGGTTTCT